AGGTTACCCACTGGGGTTTCTATGAGAGACACGGTGGAGTCCATGCCATTCCTTCAGGGTTCTGGATGGGCCAAACGCATATCAGAATGCCACCATGACTCTGGATGAACCCATAGAGCATCCTTGAGGGAACGTGGCACTACAGAGCGCTTTGTGCAGCGTGACTTGTGAATCGCTGGAAAAACGACTCAACAGGTAAGTTACACGTTCAATCCACGTACCACGACTTTCTTGTTGGGCTCATTTTTTTCCACTTCGCTGCTATGCAACGGCGGTTATGCGATTTCATCTACCCCATCATCGTTTTGGCTCTAGGATTTTTATTTGGACAACGGTTAGGACGACTAAGTGGATATGAATACTTCAGACCGGTGAAGAATTCCACAATAGAAGGTAAGTTGTTTTGTTTTTTTTTTCAGACGAAGAGCTTCTATTCAACAGTCCGCTCCAGCAGTCTATTTATTCGAAGTATAGCATTGGATTGGTAAAAAGCGGTGCAAACGCATTCAACCCCTACCCGCCAAAACTCACCACTCTAACAAATTCATTCGACTCTTCACCAATTTTACCCTCTATTTACCAGTTTTCGCTGAAATGCTGGCGTCAAGCGAAGGGGCGGCCCTCTTTAATCAGCAATCAGGACTGATAGACCCCACCGACCGAGAACGACCACTCTCCCCAATGGGATTCTCCCAGCGCTATTGTACCGTGTATATTTCCTCAGTTAGACCGCCTTCACAGATTGTTAAAGCGAAGAATCGAAAATTGCCGAATTTCCATCTGGGTGGGTCGGCGAAACCGGTGGGCATCTAATGCTTTCAGCACATACCCTTCAAATCACTGAATCTCCGAATCTCCTTGGACGGAGCCAATCGATACGTATCCAACCCTTTTAGAGCCCTCTGGGAACCACTGAGTTTCCAATTCTAGGGATTACCAGAAAGATACTTATACCTTCTTTTCAGCGTATTCCCCAATTCTCCGCTGTTGCATTACAAAACTGTAGGACTACTTTCAGATCCATCCAGATACCTGTTCGATGAAGTGAAGATCTTCTGCTGGGTGGCAACGGAGTTGCTCCAAATCTCAAATAAGAAGGCTTACTTCAAAATGGTAACCACTGATAGGAATTCGCAGGGAGGAGGAGCAGGGCACAGCATTCGATGGGGATTTTGGTCGAGCTCGTACGACCCCCCCCTTTTTGGGGGGTTCGGTACGACCCCCCCCCTTTTTTTGGTTTGGTTTTTTTCACACAAAAACACAAGCTTCAGACTTCAGCTTCATTGTAAAACAAAAACAACTATATACATGGGAAAAAAACTAAAAACCACTATACAAAACCACTCTATATATACAAAAACTACTAAATCAAAAAACAACTTCAGTGAATAGGACATAACGAAAAATAAACAAGAGGATCCCACCCTCCCTACCCGTTCCGCCACCGCCAACGAAGCCCTCCCTCCCGCCCGCAACGAAGCCCACCCAAGCAAACTCGACATATCATGGAAAAATGCCACAGTGCCGTATAGTGTTACCGGTGTTGGCTAGCTAAGTATAGACTGAGATGAAAGGTACATAGATCATGTAAGAAAACTAACCGAAAGCTACAGTAGCTACGATGACATTATACTTGCCGCTAACCCATTTCTCATGAACAGCTGTCCGTCGGGACGAGTCCATATCGGCATGGTAGAATGCTGCACGTATACCGGCTCCTCTAGAAAGGCATATCATGTACACTTGGCAGAAAATCAGACCACAGAGGCTCACACTAATAATCTGATCTGGCAATATTCCGAATACGACCACTCGTCGAAGGTTCAAGCACTCTTCAGTTTGGAATCTTGCAGAACAGTACGCAACCGAGAGCTTGCTGCACTTCTTGCTTCACAGTCCTTTCTTGAGAAACAGTATACAATACCCGATTGATTGGCAAACCTAGGAAAGTTTAGCTCCTCGCAATCACACAAACGTCAGAGTTATTGGATAAATTATAATACCTGGTTTTTATCAGTCGGGCGAGTTCAGCAGTGAACATCGCCGTCTGGCTTTTGAAAAGGCCACTTCATTGTAAATTAAGACGATTGAAACCGGCTTTGAAGACCACAGCATCTGGAATGGAAGAACTGAACAACTGACAAGTACCCAGAGCTAGCCGTTCATAACTTTTTCCTAGTTTTAGTGAGCGTTCAGGAATAGCTTCGAGTTGTTATTTATTGTTCCCTACGTGAATCTGAAAAAAATCGAGAGGAAATAAACACAACTCAAAGCTATTTTGAACGCTCACTAAAACTAGGAAAACTTATGAGCGCAAAGGAAGGGAAAAGGAGAAAAAAACAAACAGGAACAATAAACATGAACGATAAATAAATGGCATGTTGCCTAATCAAACTCGAAGAATCCCAAACGATTGTAAAACAAATGCAAATGCCAGTTGTTGTCCAGGACCCAGTGCACTTGATTTGAGGGGCAGAATTTCCGCAGAAATCGTACGGTAGCAGAGTTGGGTATGAATTGCAGCTTTGACTGGAGCAAACGGCTATTAGCCATGGAGCGAGAATTTTCAGCAAAGTAGGGTGTCTTTGAAGGACCATAACTTCCTCAAAAGCGGACCTGTGGGGAAGAGGAGAGCGTATTGGTAAATTAGAAGGTTTGATCTTCCTGAAAGTACTAAAATGTTCATGAAGGTCGCGAAAATCACAGAGAAATCTGCCATAGGGATTCGTTGGGGAGTGAAGGGTTGAAGTTCAAGTTGAACAGGTTTGAATCAATATATTTTTTTGTAACTCAACATTTCACAAATCTGAGAACGGATCCGAGCTTCTCAAGATTTTCTCTTTCTAAAAACCTATTGAACTGTTCCTGAAGCTCTCGGGATTCATGAGATCTCGCGATGGGGATTTCTTAGGGAGCACTCCCAGCCGCGCGAAAAACCCGTTTCCTGTGTACCGTTTCAAGTGAGCGTGTTCGAATAGCCAGGAACGCATGTAGAACGTATCCTGTGGTGGAGCAGGAGCAGAATATGGTTCGTTTAGCGCCGATCACGCTGACTTTGGATGCGCCGCGCACTGAGGTCCGCGCAGAAGTGATGGATGGGCAGACTTGTGCATAATGTGTGTCCACGCGCGCAAATGTGTCTGTAGGATTCAGGGAGGTCCATGGCGAACCTGTGCACTTGTCTACAGTGTTTTCCCTTGCGGATGATGTAGCGTGTCCGTGTCGACGCCGCCAGATCTGTGCTCCGATAGTTGCTGATTCCGATAAAGGAGACCAAGTGCTGGAAAACGTCTGGTACGAACGATATGGTAGTCCTGTCGTTTGTCGAAAAAAACAGGTTGGCTCAGCGCCAAGCGCGATCGCGGACACGCCCCATCATCCGCAGCAAACCAGAGTATGAGTTGTAGTGTTTAATCACTTACGAGATGTTGTCGACTTATTAATAATTCCAATTATTTCGGATTAGTTTGATGGATGAAAGTTTTGTACTCATTTTTTACATATCCGAGTTCTCTACGAAGCAAGTTCCGCTACACAGGATTCAGCACACTGACACCTTTGCGCTGCTCGATACTGGCTACCGCACTCATTACGACCCCCCTCTCCTGGCGGCCAAATACGACCCCCCTATGGGGATTCCCCAACCAATGCTGTGCCCTGGGAGGAGTGGGCTTTCCAGACTATATGACCCCTGACACAACTGCAGCCCAGCCTGCGCAGATATTCAATTGGTCCGTGGTGCATGCCTGCGCTACGCTTGTAAGGCTTCTTGTCGTTCCTGACTTATCTCAAGTTGATAATAGGACTAACGGCCCAACGGAGGCCAGAAAGATTTGAAAATGAGTTTGCAAGAGCAATGGCTGACCCTCGTGCATTATTCCGTAGTGCAAGTATTCGAATGCGCCCGATAATCAAAGTGTGATCGGTGTATACAAATGCGACCGTTCGACGCTGGGATGGGACTTACGCCGTTCAGTTTGAAGGGCAACGGGTTTCTGAAGTCACGCATAGAAAGCACAAAAAACCATCATCAATTAACTCGTCAGGGATGCGCCAGATACTCGACCTTTTATATCCTCAAAGGCATTTGAGCACGCATTTTATCTTTGCAATCATCCACACAAGCACTTGGCCGCGCAAGGCTCCACTGCTCTAGAGTCTTCAAGCCTTCCTACTTGGCAGAACAATTGGCGCAGTTTGTCGACAGGGGAAGGGCATTCTACTTTCCATAGACTATCGACCCATCTAGGTAGCCTTTTCTTGAGTTGACACGTTTTGGGATGGTGGCTAGACGATCTTACCAGCTTCACAAGAGTTCACAAGTTTTACCAGAGTGAGATTTGTAAACCGGAACTAGGGAAGCAATGATAGTACAAAATGCCCCCCCCGTCGACAAACAGCGCCGACAATTTTAGTATCAGTTAAAAGCTAACATCTCGAGAGCAGCGGGGATGAATGGGTTAAAAAAAGATGCGTTGGGTACCAAGTGTTGCAATCACTTTTGGCAGTATATTAGGAAACTGGGTGCTTCTATGAGGAACCAGACGAGACAAATGGAAGGGATAGCACGGAAACGAGCGAGACGACAGACGTCAAAATAACCACAGTAGCCTTCACTTCAAACTGACGACGGTTCGTATAGTGTAGTTCGCTGCGGACGGTTGGGCGTGTCAGTGCGGCTGCGTTTGGCGCGGTGCCAAACTCGTTCTCCACCAGTTGTTGAAGCGGGCAAGTGACAATACTGTATCATATCCTTCGTATTACTCGTTTTCTACCACTTTTTGTCGCATGCGCGCTTCAACAAGAAGGCAGAGAACGGCTTTGACGGGGTGACACACTCATACTGGCTGACACGCCCGAGCGAACTAGAGTGTATCGACGTGCAAAGACGTGAGTCGCATGTCCTGATGCCCTAGCCCCGAAATTTCAGGCCGTGAAAGTGATAAAACTTCTGCGGCGGCACACCAGTAAAGGTTCTACCCTCCAGCTAATCTTGCGAGGTGAATTCGGACGGCAGTGAATGTGTTGGATAGGAAGCGGGGCAGCAGCTCAAGCATTGGCAGGACGGGCGTTGGACCACAATTTCCGCGTATCAAGTGGGGTACAGAATTCGGGATTAAAATTGCGGTGGCGGTACGACCCCTTCCAAATTACCTCCTTCAGTGCGACCTCACAGCATGCATACCATCTTACCAGTTTTCCTCAGAGCATTGTCGCCAAGCCGGGGGTCACCCATCTGGCTGACTATCAGAAATAGTCGTTCTTCGCGAGCCAACGACTGGTGAAACACCGAAAATCAACAACTGGGAGATTTTTTCGAATCCAGCCAGAGATGCCCTTCACCATCGACCTGGTACCACCCTCTTTATGGGTTTTGCACACCGATGCTGTACAACGCTTCCAAATCCTGCCTGTGCGTTCATTCGAGCCGTTGAAGTACGCATGTTGTCCCCGCCCTTAGGCCATCTCTGCATTCACCCATCAAGAGTTTGCTCTCAAGTAGGATAGTCCGATGAGTTTGTACATTCCCAACAGGAACATTTCCTGACAACAGTCAGGCTGCTCTCATGTATCTAAAGAAACTGCTGTAGCGGACCTATAAACTCACGTTCATCAATTCAGGATACCTGGGGACGTCAGTGTAACAGGATTTTGTTTGTGTCCAATGCGACTGATGAGAAGTTGCCGATTCTGCTCGCCGAGCAGGATGATACCTTCCTAAACCTATTCCGTAAGACGCGACAGGCCTTTCTCTGGATTTATGAAAATGTGGTGGTGAGTATTGAGATTTTAAACAATCACAACAGAGTACCAGAGCACTGTGAGCCGGGTGTGAGTTAGAAAATCCAAGCAGCGGCGGCGAAGTGAAATTGGCATTGCGATTCGTAGTGTCGCCACAATTCCAATCTTCTGGTCCACCTCCGCGAATCGACGTCGATGTGCGTTCAGACGTCGCGATGACGCGCGTCGACGCACTCTGATGCGAGTCAACGTGATCACAGAAGGGGATGCAGCCATAGACGGGTATCGAAGAGCATAGGCCGCTACTTTCGGGGAAGCCTAGGGGAGTAGAAGGGTAGCGCACTGTGAGATTAGGTGCCATACAATGGAAAGGTCTTCAGTGCGTCGAGGAAAACTCTTGCTTGCCGTTGAACGCCACAAAGTGAGAGATCCGATCAGGAAAATTTCCGTCAGGCTCAATACAACTCCCTTGTCCAGCAAAGAAAAACCCTCACATCCCGAACTTGGGGAGGGCGCGGTTGCGTACTTCACTC